ATTAAATATCTTAAATTTTTTTATTCCATCATTTATTTTTCCCTGCCCAAAACAGTTTGATGGAAGAAATTGTATTTACTTTTTAGGCAAGTAATTCATTCATATGTGAGTTTATTTTTGCTATTTATCGTGATAAATCGCGAGAAGTGAAAAGTCTTACAAGAACTAGGAGTAGGAGGCAGAGCAGGCTGCTTTATGGGTGGTAGTGGATATATAAGTAGGGTTCCACCATCATTACTAGCCATGTACGGAAAGCGATCAGTCCACATAAAATACTAATTTAATTAATCCATGAAAACTCCATTACTATTTCCTAAATTCAACAAAATCCTATGGGGGAACTGTTGTTTTTCATTTTACTCATCCTTTCAGGTATTCCCCCTTTCCATTTATATCTCTCTCTCGCTTCTTCAGCAGAACCCCATTTTGTTCAACATTTTTAGTAAAAAAATGTTCAGGACAAAAACTCATCTCTCATGATCTCTTTTGTTTACCTATTTTAGGGAACTTCCCCTTTCCTTTCTTGAGCCAGCACTTTTGGTTGTCTGTGTTACTACACCCACTCGGCATCTTATTAATAAGGTAAACCAAGAGAAACCCATAATTTCATTCTTTTTGCATGTTCGTGTGCAGAGATTTGTTGGGTTTTGGTCTTTGCCCAGCGTTTCTTGATTTCTTAACTCAGATCTGAAGACTTTTTGTGGGTTTTTGAAGTTAAACTAGGGTTTCAAATGGTTTGGCCTGAAACCCATTTATTTTTTGTTGTGTTTAACTCATTTCGTGTGTTGATATGGGTGAAGGAAGGTTAAAGTTCCGATCTTTTTGGAGGGAGGAGATCAGTAGAGGAAGAAAGATGGCTCGGGAGAAGATCAAGATCAGGAAGATCGACAACGTGACGGCGAGGCAGGTGACTTTTTCCAAGAGGAGACGGGGGCTTTTCAAGAAAGCTGAAGAACTCTCCGTTCTCTGCGATGCTGAGGTTGCCCTCATCATTTTCTCTGCTACTGGGAAGCTCTTCGAGTATGCCAGCTCCAAGTAAGCAATTTCTCTCTTCTTGAGTACTTATATAGTTTGATGCCGGCTCGGTTTTAGGCCTGCTGATCTCTTGGAACGATGGAAGAAAACAGTGATGATAATCTCTTAGGGTTGATTCAAAACCCTTAAACAGCTTCTTAGACGAGTTGAGACACTGAAAGCTGCCAAACATGGAAAAATATTTAGTTTTTACTTTTACCAACCAAGTACTTATAATGGTGTCTGAAATTCTATGTATTTCATGAAATATCTGGAGACTCACCATTATATTCTCTCTCTTCTTCCTCATGGAATGTTGTCTCCCATTAACAACTCAAATCTTGGAGGAAGAGATTTTACAAAAATATATGAATTTTGTGGATAATATACTCATTAAAAAAGTTGGGTAGTATTCAAAGTTATTAGTTTTTAGTGATTAAATCTTTAATAAGTTAATGATTTGCCTATGAAGAAAAATTATTGTCAGAGATTAGACCTTTGTTAGGACTTAAATAGAATATATTTTTAGACCCACGGATGTCAATTTTATTGATTGGAAATAAATAGAATATATCCATGATTTGTACATATACGTACCGCTCGGGACAAGCATTCTCTGTTGGCTTGTTTTCGAATACAAGATGTGATTTTATGATCATTTGTGTATAACTGCCATGATTTCAAAATATATTGCTTGTTATGTTTATTTTGTTATCTTTAGCCTACAATATATGATAAACTCATCACTACAACTAGAAAACAAAGCCTATTTATTCATGATAATATTTATGTAGAGTTCCAATTTCCTTTCTGTCTGTATGGTTGTGATTTGAATCTTAAATTAGATAATCATAGGAAATAGGAGGTATCTAACATCTGATATAGGTCAAATCTGTTTCTTGCGCATAAGTTAAAGTTAGGTTGTTGCATGTTATGTGTTTGTCACTTTATCTAGTTTACAATATATATGATTGATATAAGGTCAAATTTGGTTCTTGCGGGTAAGTCACTATAATTGGCTTACTCTAATTCATTATATGCGCATGAATAAGACAACTTTTCATGCTGCCAAACTTTGAATTTGAACATTTTAATGGTTAATGAATTAATTTCCTTGGATTTGGATTTAATAGGGATATGATGCAGCCATTACTTTGTTGTGGTTCTTGAGCCATTTTTCATTTGGCCTGTTTCTATGTAGTCTTCTCATTGAAATTTAATTTCATAGGCTTTCATGAATATGGTTAATGGTTGCTTGATTTAGTTTTTTGTACAAGGGACACTCCAATCCTAATTAGTTTTAAGCTTTTTACTGATGATTTAAGTCACTTTTATTATTCTTTCTTTCTATGCGTAGTATGAAAGACATTCTGTCTCGCTATAATCTGCATTCTAGTAACATCAACAAACTTGATCAACCATCTCTCGAACTGCAGGTAATTACCTTTTTTTTTAATAATCACCTACTCTTTTCATGGTTTATATCTCTATCATGCTTAATATTAATATATATATATATATATATCCATAGAAAGTTCCTTCAGAGCTTGTACATTGGCAAAGTTCTCTTCTTTGTTCTGTTAATTCCGCAGCATCACAATATTCCACTTCTCTCCATTTCCCTATAAAAATACTTTAAAAATACTTTAAAAAATTTTTACAGCTAGAGAATAGCAATCAAATGTTGAGCAAGGAAGTTGCCGACAAAAGCCACCAGTTAAAGTGAGTAATTTGTTTTCCTCAGTTATTTATAAGGAATATTAATTTGATAAATACTTGATTTGATCCTTATATTATATATTCCCTATTGATCGATCTCTTTCTAAATATGTGTACAGGCAGATGAGAGGAGAGGATCTTCAAGGATTGAGTATAGAAGAGTTGCAGCAGCTTGAGAAAATGCTTGAATCTGGACTAACCCGAGTGCTTGAAACCAAGGTTAATTAATTTAATTATAAGTTGTTTTCCTGGTAATTTATGTTAAAAAAACTCATGTATCCCTTTGTTCGATTTCATTTTCTCCTCTTCCAGGGTGAACGGATTTTGAATGAGATCTCTGCACTTGAGCAGAAGGTTAGCACCATACTTAGTCCAGTTTTTATTTTGTTATACAAATATTTCACCTATAATTATTTCCTTCATTTTAATAATGTAGGGAGCAGAATTACTGGAAGAGAACAAACGACTTAAAGATAAAGTAAGTGAATTTACAGTTTAAACGTTAATTCTTTTAGTTATATGGAATATAAATGTTTGGTTGATATTGGTGAGGGTTTCGGGAATTGCAGATGGTAGCATTGTCTAAGGGGAAAAGACATTTACCAGCAGAGTCGGATATTGCGGTTCAGGAAGAAGGCATGTCCTCGGAGTCTGTCACAAATGTTTGCAGTTGCACTAGTGGCCCTCCTGTGGATGATGATAGCTCAGATACTTCTCTCAAATTAGGGTGAGCAGCCAGAGCATATAATGGAATCAAAACTTATTCAGAAATCTTTATAATGCATTTTCCAAGCTCAATTAATTTACTTAGTTGATCAAGATTTTGACAATCAGCTTCTTTTCTTCTGCACATTTTGCAGGCTTTCCCTTCACTAGCTGAAACAATATGGGAAGTTGCATGCTTAATAATCTTCCAAGGATTAAGAATGTTGAACAACTCCTGGATTAGAGTCTACTAAGCTGTGTGCTATCCTGTCTTCTTCTTGTTGTTGAGATGTGTACTATCCAATGAGCTAAATTGAATGAAAACTAGGATGCATTATATGTAATGTATGAATCTAACCTGTTTGTCCTATTAAGTCGTTAAAGTTTGTTGGTATTAGACAATGATCAATTTAGTGTAGCACGTAAGACTAAACAATAATCCTTGTTCACTTTCTTATCGGAATGAGAGTTTTTCTTTGTATCAACTGGAATGAAGTGTTATTGACATTAAACGAAGAGAAATGGAAGGGTATGGGGCATACTTATGCAAAGAACGGAAGTATAGTTTACAAACAACGGAATTAAGAAATTTAATATACAAGGAACGTAATTTGAGTGGGAACGTTAAAGGGATGAGATATCCAAAAAAGCGTTTTAGGGTATAAATTGTATGTAAAAAATAGAATTTGTTTGAAGAATTTATTAAAATATTTTTAAATAAATTATTTTAGAAAAAATATTTAAATAAATTCATAAAGTAAATTGTATTTTAAATATACATTTAAACTTAAAATAATAAAACATGAATCCCTTACTCTTAAATGCTTGTTGTATCTTTTAGTTGCAATTTAATAGGACATGACATTAAAAGGAAAAAGCTCGAGGTCTCCTCTTCTTCTTTGAGGGTAGGGTTTCTTTGAAGATGAGCTCATACAAGTCATAATCATCTGCAATGGCTGCCTCCCCTCTCCTCGTATCTACAGCGGCTGTTCATTGATTTAAGTTCAACCTCTCTCTTTCATCGTCTTATCACTTCGAGGTGTCGGTATTGGACTTAAACCAGAGTCTCCATTCATCAACGTCTATTCATTGAAGGGAAAAATAAATAAATAAATAAATAATAAATAAAACTTGGGGTGAGCCTAAATTTGCATGGTTTGAGAGAAATAGAAGTAGCGGAGTAAATAATATTTCTTCTAATCAAACTAAAATGCTGGCAAAGTAGTCGAATTACTTTTCTCTTTCTTTTATTTTTATTTTTTTAAATCAAATAAGTTTTAAGGTTTCGTTTATTAGTACTATATTACATTATATAATAGTTATAGGTTTTTTTAATATATTTTATTATCTTAAAATATATAAAATTAATTAAAATTAATAACAATGTATAAATATTAATTGAAATTAATAAATTTACATTTTTAAATAAATTATCATGTGAAAAGATATATTTGAGAAACATGAATACATGATCCAACGAAGCCTAAGTTAGTACTCAAATCCAAAAGACTTTCATCCCATATAGGAAAAAAAAAGGTACATATAAAAAAAAATGAAGTTACTAAGAAAAAAGAAAAAATTAACTGCCTTTTTATTTATTAATTTAGGAGTGTTTGAATAAAGACAGACACCGCAAAAAATAAATAAATAAATAAAGACACAGACATCCGTGTCGGAGGTCGGAGCCCAGACCCCCAACTGGGCCAGGGAATTTTAACGCTAAACAAAGTTTCTGGATCTGGGTGACAATAGCCATTCCAAAAGCTGACCCAACCCATAAAGCCCAAGAAGGAAGTTGTCATTCACACTCTACACAAGCGCGTACATTGACCAATCCCAAAGCTTAACACGCTTCGCATTTTCTCTCCCATTTCCAGCTTTATAAAAATGGCAAAAATCCTTCTTGAGCCCTCAAACTTATCCTAAAATATCATTTAAGCCTCTGAACAAAAAAATGAAGCAGAAACCCCTTCAATTCCACTAATGATGCAAACAAACCCTTCTCATTTATGGGTGTTTGTACTTTCAAGGTAATACTAAACATAAAATAACATTTGATCCATTTGTGAGAAAGTCTTATTTGCATTGTCAGTGAAGTTGAAGGGTTTATCTGTCTCGTTTTTAGTTTAGGAGCTGAAATGCTATTTTTGGGAAAGTTTGGGAGCTTAAGTATTGTTTTTGCCCTTATAAAATCCAAATCGGTACAAACATTAGGGCTGCTCTGTTTTTGATTTCTGTTCCCTCGCTGAATTTCAATTCCAACTCTCTGAGTTACCGACGCGATCCCCTTCCCATCCAGTGGCCTTTTTCGCCATGAACCATAGTCTTGAGGTCTTTGATTTCAAGGAAGAGGACGAGCTGCCGGAATCCGCAGCCGATAAACTCTTGAGCAAATTCAAGAACCCTAATGTTGACGATTCCACCGTTTTGAAGTGTGAATTTCTTGGTATGTTTGTGCATTTATTGAGAATTGAGATTTTCCTTTGTGTTGTTTTTTTTCTCTATTTTTTTCCTTTTGAATTTGTTTTGGTGTGATTCTGTATTGCTTTGAATATCCTTGCATGGTAAGCGAAGAGCGGAATTGAAGTGAAATAGTCGAATCTTAACGATGAGAGAAGATTGTTTGCATTGAATTTGATGTGCAAATTTGATTGTGGTTGAATTCAGTTTTCCATTGTCCTCGTAAAGCACTGATGTTTAACAAGCAGCTTGGGATTACTGAACTTTGAGTTTTCTGATTTAGGAGGAATCGTTTGAGCTCTAGGTTCAGATGGATGTAAGGATTGAGCAACAGGAATCATGGAATGCTTCTATATATGGTGATTATCAATAAGTTTTTTTTATGTTTGTACATGGAATTGAGGTTCCCTAATGTTTGTGGGAGTTTATTTTGTTGTATGTGGAACACCAGAGATTGTTTAATTGCTCAACTAGTTCATTTTTAGCCACAACAGTCTAGTCTGTTAGTGTTGGTGTGTTTGATACCATTGTGACTCAGTGTACATTTATCCTTCTTCCTGGTATGCTTTAGAGTTCCATGTTCTTTAGCCAATAAACAGGAAGAGGTTGGATTTGTGAGGTGGGACAACATTAAAATGACGGTGTGTCTCCATTTTACCTGTTAATTGATCATGGTATTTTATTGAGGTTTCCTTTTAACCATATAGTATTTGGACTGCTAGGTGAGCTGCATTAGTTTAATTTCTCAGTGCAGGCATAAGTGTGTCTATGATCAGTCAAAGGTGATTTTCAAAAAGCTTGAAGCAATTTACTTTATCAATGTTTCTATTTCCTGATTCAAGTTGTAAAATGTTTTTTGATCATACCTAGCTTGCTTGATTAGCCTCAGTGTATTAAGTGGATTCCAGTTCATCAGGTTCTTATCCTATTATTCTAGTGTGTTCAATACATTTCCATGTTTGGGGTGAGAAGTAATGTTTCATGTTATATAATTGCTCAATTTGGAAATGATCGTAAATGGTTCAATGTATCACACTCCCTTGTGATCTGTTGAATGTGTGATGGCTGAGGTTTGTACTAGTTTCTATTTGTTTAGGGCCCATTTGGTTGGATGAGACTAACAGAGAGTGAGAATAATTATTACATGTGATATAGAAATGTATGGAAAGGAAATGGAATAATTAGCCAGTTGTTTGGTTGGTTTTTATTTTTTTAGTGGTAATAAGGATTAAAGTGTAAAAGACTAAAAATGCCCCTCATGTAAAGGAAAAAAGTGAGGGCAAAGGAGGAAAAAAATGTAAACAGCAGCTGTAATAATTTTTCCCATTCTGGGCATGTGTAATTTTTATCTGCCAAATCGTCTTAAATCAATTCCCACTGTGGAGATTTTTGTGGAACCTTTTTACCAAACAAGCTATATTATGCCTCTTAGCAGTGTACGAAATGTGCTGTTATTGATTAATAATTATTCTATTCTGATCGTCGAATAAGATTCTTCAACACTATATACTAATTTTCCCTATGCATTTCTAATTCTGTTCATTTCAATTTTCTTTCAGTTGCGCAAAGTTCTGCTGTGCAGAGAATGGAAATTGATGATGTGCCTTGTGTAGACAATGATAAAATTGATTGTGATAATAACTGTGTTCAGCGTCACTGTGTGCCACAAAGTGCAGGGGAAGATGATTTTGCCTCTAAGGAAGGAGAATCTGGGTTGCATGTTTTCTCACTGTCAAAGTCTACAAGTTATGAGCAACATGTTGATTTAGATAAAGATAACTATGAATCTAGAGGTTCCTTTCCTAAATTGGAGTTAGGAGATTCATTTGCTGACGCACCTTTACCTTGGAGAAGCAAACTTATCTGTAATCCTACAGATTCTCCACCCAGTGTACTTTCCGTAACTTACCTAAACTACATTCTAGATCCAGATAGTTTCCAGATTGTGTTTATGTTTATTTTAATTTGTGCAGTATGAGTCAGCTGATGCACCCTCAGATGCTAATGAAAGCATGTGTGAAAGTTCATCTTCATGTCCTGCTTCTGATGTAGCAGAGGATGAGGGTATTCTTTGAAATTAGAAAGTCTTGATATTTCCTTTTGACATTATTTTTTTTGGTGAAATTTTATCCTAATCATACTTTTCTTCATATTTTCAGTTTCATTGCATTGCAACATGTCCAACCATTGCTTTGGAAATGTGGTTCTGGTAATTGCCTTTTTTTTGCTATATTCATAAATTGTCAATAAGTTAGAGATACTCCTGATTACCTTTTCTTTTTTGGTAATCAGTGCTGGTTGCTTTTCACTATTGAGATTTTGTTGTATAACCAAAAAACTGTATGGTGATTGCTCTATGCTTAAATGTTTAGGATTTCTGATTTATGTTCCCTTTGCCTGCATGCCTTTTTGTTCATTTGTAATTTCTTGGGTAACAGACTGGTTCTTTTGTTTACTGTTTTTTATGGTTTTGTTTGCCAATTTTGCCTCTATAATTTTACATTGATCACTTCTCATTAAGTGATTGCATAGGCATCTGTACAGAACTCTGTCGTTAGAGTTCGTCTTGAAGCAAATTTTTATTTCATCTTTCGTTTGAATTCTGTTTTTCTTCTATGTCAGTGGAAACTAGAATGGTTGATTCCCATATCAATTGGACTCTGCACTTTGGTTTCAGTGAGATTATGTTTTCTGTCTGGTTGACTGAGAAGTTTTAGGCAATAAACTGAAGAATAGTTGCAGTTTTATAAAAGTGGATCACTGGCTAGTGACATTCATTGTAATAAATAGCAGCTATAGATTTTCTGAAGGGTTTTGGATACTCATTGAATATATCTTTGTACAATTTACAGGATGATGTAAACAATACAGTCAGTATATATCCTGATTATGTATTGTATCATGATAACTATTGGACGGGATTAGAGGTGATTTTTTCCCATGGTGGCATCAAAATTGAGGGCTCAAGTGCATGTGATAATGGGGAAACCTTCAGTTTTGAAAGGGGAATTGATGATATTGTTGCTATTGAGTGTCAGTGGTCTCAAAGGGTGAGTCATGTCCTGGTTTGGAGCAATTTATTTATTTATTTTTTTCATATTTGCTTAACAGCTCGAGTTTCTTATGTGGTTTGTATTTCAGATGGGATACGTAGTGGCTAAGCTACAAATCTTGTCAAAGGAAGTTGTAGAAGGGGAAAATTCTAGTGGCACTTCAGGTTAATGATCTTATAAAATTTTATTTCTTTGTTCTTTCTTTTCCCATTAGTGTGTGCTCTGTTATGTTTGTTCCATTGATGTTTACATTGTCTTCTGTCAATTGTTTTCATAAGTTAATTTACTTTTACCTTAATTTACTTTTACCTTTTATAATCCTAATAGTCAATAGGTTCTGCCAAATATCTGAAACAAATTGAATTTCAGAAAAGTGATATTACCATTGATGAGGTGCGTGCCCCCTCATATAGGGGCGGTCCCCCTCTCCGTCAATGGTTTTAAAATATGTTGTCTGTGCAGGGCGGGTTGCAAAACTATTAACTCATTAAGTTTTATGTTCTTACTTTAATATTACATTCGTGAAACTAAACAGCGTCTTTTAGTTGATCTTCTTCTTAACAGGTAAGGGATAGAAATGCTCTCAAACCTCTTTAAGTGAAACATTCTATTTTGTCTGATTATGCATGCATTGAGTCCAAGAAAAATTATATGGGATCTAGTTTCTTTTCTTCTTGCAAGATCTTTGCATTAGCCTATTTAGTGCTTTCAGCTTCATTAGAAATCTTAAATCTTATATTGATAGTTTCCCTTATTTTGTTTGCTCACATCAATATCTTCCAGGCATCCAGGAAGTAAAATTTTCAGTTTTTGAGCCCAACTGGTCTGAGAAACAGGAAGCAATCACCTCATTAAATATAAGGTTCATGGCTATATGGGATTTTGTGCTTGAGTAAGCTTCTAACTTTGCTTTGCAATCACCTGGATTAGTGCTAATATCACATGGGAGGTTAAAATTTGGGAGTGAAAGGGTTGGTAAAATGGGAGTGTGTTTAGACAATGAAACTTTGTGTGAAGAAACAAGGGTACAATTGGAGTTGCTGAAGTGGGTGGAGTTCAGTAGGTTACAGTCCTGACTACATTAAAAATCTTATATATTTTGTTATTTCAAGTGATGGATGTCTATATGATGTTTTGTTTAAAATTTGTTACCCTTCCAATTTTTGTGATGCATTTTAATCTTGAGAAAAAACTCTTCCATTTGCTTGCAGCCTGCAGGCAGGATTGGATGAACATGATTTACTTGGACATAAACACTATTTTCCCAAGTAAGTTGTAGTTCCAATGTTCTTTTCCTAATCCTTCCTCGCATGCCTTTATTTATAGTTGTTTTTGTGATCCTTTGGAATTTACATCATTTCCTCTCATATTTGTAGTTCTACATTTGTTGGATTTTGTGTACTCTGTGGCTTACAATTGTAATTCAATTATTATACCAATTCATGTCAGAAAAATCTTGTCTTGGTTTTAATTCATGCTGGTTAGCCTGGTTTTCTCTAGATTATGTCATGTACTTGAACATTTGTCTTTTCCTTGGTGAATGAATAGATGATGAGGGTTTCTTTTAAGACACCCTGGATCCTTCTGTTTCTGGTCCTGGACTTGTCTAAAAATGAAATATGCATGCATGTATTTTGTAACTAATGTTGGGCTGCCCTGTTGGTTCTTATTAAATTGGTAATTTAGGGTGTTGGATGCATTCTTTTCTTATCTGAACATTGCCTCCTGCATTCTGATTAAGCCTGGCTTTACAGCTTTGAGGAGCCTTTTGAAGAGGTTATCTATCCAAAAGGGGATTCTGATGCAGTTTCCATCAGCAAGAGGGATGTTGACCTGTTGCAGCCCGAGACATTCGTCAATGACACAATTATTGACTTTTACATAAAGTACGTATGTATGTGGAGCAGTTACTTTTGATTATGATATCTCCTTTTCAACTTGTTTGGGCAAAAACTGAAGTTTAGAACATAAAATCCAGATTTTCAGCTTAGAATACCCAATTAGTCCTAGTTGGAGGTTGATATTGTTTGCAAGGTTTTCTGAAATTTTCTGTTTTCATTTTTCATTAATTAAATTTATTCTGTAATCCACTTTTTGAACCTTCCTTATACTTGGTTGGCAGCTATCTGAAGAATCAGATTCCACTTGAGGATAGGCAGAGGCTTCACTTTTTTAACAGTTTTTTCTTTCGAAAGCTTGCTGATCTCGACAAAGATCCCTCCAGTATTTCTGATGGGAGGGCTGCTTTCTTACGTGTTCATAAATGGACTAGGAAGGTGGATATATTTGGAAAAGATTACATTTTTATCCCTGTAAACTTCAAGTAAGAAACTCTTAATCTTTTGTAATAGTTTTTTTTTTTTTTTTTAATTTTTAAAAAAATTTTTCCTTTTTGTGGATGAATTGGGGAGCTAACATAAAATGCAATTGCATTTCATAACAGTCTCCACTGGAGTTTGATAGTCATATGCCATCCTGGTGAGGTGGCTGGTATCAAAGGTATGTGTTTATGAGAGTCTATGTTGTCTACACGAAAATCATTCCTCCATTAATCTTAATTTATTATATATCAGATGAAGACTTGGAAAAGTCATCAAACGTACCTTGCATACTGCACATGGACTCCATCAGAGGTAGCCATGCAGGTCTAAAAAATCTTTTTCAAAGGTATGCACTGCCATCCTCCAACACTTTTTTCCTGGCTAGAGTAAGTTTTTAAATCTGTCTTGTAAGTTATTGACATTTCTTTTGGGCCTTGAAATGACAGTTACTTGTCGGAAGAGTGGAAAGGAAGGCACAAGGAGACATCAGAAGATATTTCTTCAAGATTCTTGAATTTGCGATTTGTCTCACTTGAGGTATGGTAACCAGTCATAGTTGAGAGTAACCATTCTAGAGTAAAGTTAAAATAAAATTACTTGGAAAGCTCCTCAAAGCAAACCAGTAAAGAAAGTAAGGAGAGACTAACTTGATGGTTATTTTGATGTGCATTTTGATTCCTATAGTTTCTTGTCTGCTTTGTTCTAGGCTTATATAATAAAACCACTGTAGTGGCCAGGGAAATAAGAAAAATATTAATTTCTTAATTGCTGTCTCTGGGGTACTATATTTGAGATGTTTTAGTGTTTGACTTACCTGGCAACATGTTTTTGGAAGGTCTGTGGGGAATTATGAAATTTCCTGTAGCAAAATTTTTGCTGGATTACTCAATAGGTTCATTCATAGAAGTTATCCAGTTATTGAAAGTCCTTTAAACATTATGCTATGTCTTGTAAGATGCTGAAAATTTCAGAATACAAGTTTAGTTTTATTGGATTTACATCTTTGGTCTTTTAATTAACTCTCTGTCTGGCATTTCTGCTTACTGTGTTTTCCTGACACTTTTTTTGTTATGTCAGCTGCCACAGCAGGAGAATTCATTTGATTGCGGCCTATTCTTGCTCCATTATCTGGAGCTCTTTTTAGCAGAAGCTCCTACCAACTTCAGTCCTTTCAAAATAACCAAATTCTCTAACTTTGTAAGTGCTGTGCCTGGTTCTTGAATCTTCTACCCTCCATCATGAACCACATTTGTTTCAAAAAGTCAATGCCTACTTAGTGAAATGTGTTTGCAAACCTTTCCATTTCTGTTTTAGATCTTGTCATACGTTAATTGTTATGTGGTTCTGTTAGTAGCATGCATCTGGAAAAATGCTTTGAGGTTTCTTTTCCTTAGGTTTCACATTAAGGAGCCAAAGTTTTCTTCTAGATGCATATCCAAATCTAAGTTGATGCATATTTCTTGAATTTTCTGATACCATTTTTATGTTGTTTAATCTAATGTTTGTGTTCAAGAATTTTTCATATGTGAGGAGGCAGTGCATTATCCTTTTTTTTCAGCCTTAGCAGTGCATGTTTCTCGATCCAATTTTTTCTTAGATTGTACTTTGTTGGAATCTTGATCTTAGTATGACTTACAACCGAACCAAGGAATTGATCTCGTAGGGATTTTTCATTTTTCTCAATGAACCCTGGGCTGTTACTTAATATTTATTTTCCAGTATAGGAACATTAGCGATAATTTAAGATAAATCTGGGGGCACTATACTGCCGCTGTTTTTTCGTTTTTCGAAAAACATTAGAATCCATTCATTGAAATTATCTTGCTGTTATTGAAATGTGAAAGGCTAATGTGAGAACTTGAACTCTTTCTACTTGTAAAGAATTACCTTTTTTCTGTTATTGTATATTGGAGCTGTTTCTCTTATTTTATTTTTCCCATTTCGCTTGACAGCTTAATGTTGATTGGTTTCCACCTACTGAAGCATCTCTTAAGCGCACTCTTATCCAGCGGTTAATTTTTGAACTCTTAGAAACTCGTCGTGAGGAGATCACTTCATCTGAATGCAGTGATGAACAACGGTCTTCTAAATTTCAGGAGAAGAACGACACTGAAACTGGTGTGCAACTTCTTTCAGAGAGATGCAGTCGAGAAATAGCATGTCATGGCAACTCACCAAATTCTCAAGCTGGCCATGGAATTGAAATGACCCTATTAGAAGCATCATCTATGAGAAATTTGCATTGCGATAATGATTCTGGCATGGTTCTTAGGGAGTTCTTTGAGCCAGGAGCTGCTTCAGGAGCTTTGCTTGGACAGTATCAATCTTTTGACCAGCAATCCTCCTATTATCATTTGAATGGTGCCATATCATCAGAAGAGGTAGTAAATTTTCATCATTCTTGTGGAAATAATTTGTTTTATCCATTGGAATAAACAAGAGATAATAAGTAAACCTGATTGGTTGTAGAAACAGTTAAGGCGCAAGGTAATTATTAATTCCCTGCCAACAACCTGCACCAGAACCCAACATGCACGCATTGTACTACCATCATTTCTGTATTGCATTTGATGCCAAAATGAGAATTAACTGCTATGATTTCATTTGCAGCAAGATGTAGAAGCTGGTGCAGAATTTGGTTACATTGCTCCTCGGGAAAACAATTATCAGCAGCTCTCTGGAACTGCAGAACAAGGTTGTGCAGTCCCATACTCTTCTAGAAGTCTCATGATGGACACTTCATGGAACCTGGGAAATTCCATTCAAGGAGGATATGATATCTACACATCTACCGGAACATCCTGTGCCTCTGAAGATGATGATGACGATGATGTTGGGATAATTGAAAATAGACCGGGGGGGGAATTGGCACTGAGTGAAAGAGACAATGTAGATTGGCAAAGATCTCCATCGGTGGAAAATGTTGAGTGCAAGACTGAAGGCGTTGCTTCAGCTGCTGGTGAGGTGGTGGAGATTGGTGGCACTGAAGCTTATGTGGATGCTGAGAGGATGCAAAATGGCAATGAGGAGAATGGTGACCTTCTGCCATCTGAAGAGAATCCAACCTTGTTGCTGCAACAAGACCCTAGCAGCAGGGCAGTGAACCAGTTGGGTCCAGACTCTGAAATGGTGATCTTGACTTGTTGTACAGAAGCTTCTGAGGATGCTGATGTGATCCAAAATGGCAATGAAAAGGACAAAGACCTTACACCCTCAGAACAAAGTCAAGGCCTTACACCCTCAGAACAAAGTCAAGGCCTTCCACCCTCAGAACGAAGTCAAGACCTTCCACCCTCAGAACAAAGTCAAGACCTTCCACCCTCAGAACAAAGTCCAACTGGGTTGCTGCAAGAAGACCCTGGTATGACAGTGAACCGGTTGGATCAAGATTCTGATTTGGTGGAAAACAAGGAGGCCATGTGTGATGATGATACACAAATGCTTGAAGATGATCTCTTGGCCAAACCAGATGTGCAGCTACCCATAAAAAGGACTCAGCCTATGTCTCTCCATGAGGAGGAAGTGGAATCACAAAATCCTGGTACGACAGTGAAACAGTTGGATCAAGACTCTGAGATGTTGAAAAACAAGGAGGCTAGCTACAATGATATGAAAATGAATGCAGATGGTCTCTTGGCCAAACCAGATGAGCAGCCCCCTGCCAAAAAGATTCGACTTTTGTCTCCTGATGAAGGAAAAGTGGATTCACATGAAACATAATGTTGACCATCTGTTCTTTTGGAAGTAGACACACTGGATGTGTTCTCCCTTAAAACTTACATGTAGTGGAAATCCAGATCTCAGTAGCTATTTTTGTGCCAGGCTGTGAATAGGGTTTGCGGTAGTATGTTCTTAACTGTGATTAGTCATTGGATGTAGCAGCAGTAGGAGAAATTGTTTGGATAGTTGTCTTCATGATTTAGAACATGAACATCAAGGAGTTCTGGGGAGAAAAAAGTAATAGTATGAAATATGAATTCATTGAAAAAGGAAACTAACATTGTTAACATGTGAGTTAACCCAACAGCAGTAGTTTTCCGCTTGAATCCTGAAACCTCTTACCCTTCTATCTCAGAATATATATATTTATATATATTTAGAGCTTTTTTCACATATTGAGAATTGATAGAAAAGTTGTGTTTATAATTAAATGAAATTTGATCTTTCTCATCAGTTTGGACATCTGGCTTGCTTAAACTTGAATGCGCCATAAGACAACACGGTGCTGCTGTTGGGTCACTCTTCCTGAACAAGACCATCGGATGGTCTTGAGTTTCAGCAGCAGGTTATCAATGGGCATAAAAACAGAAGGTAGCTCTAAAAAAGGTCTTTTAAGTGATTAAGAATTTGAAATTTTAAGTTAAACATCTTACATTTAAATCTTAAGATAAACAATAAGAGTTGTGTTATATTACATGGTTTATCATATGATGTCTTAGAAAAAATAAAAAGAGAAGGGGCAGATTAGGGTGGAATGCTGGTACTGTACTTTTTAAAAATATTTTCTTCAATTTGAGCTATAAATAAATTTCTTATTAATCGATAAAGAAAATGATCGGGTGTAACAAATTGGCTAAATTTCACTTTGAAAAATTCCAAGTTTGAATCTTGGCATTGGAAATTTATTTTCTACAAATTTTCTGCATTTGGTACTAGGCTCTAAGTTCTTGACTGATGCCCCAAAAATTCCATATACGCTTATCTATTACAGGACTGAAAATAAGACAAGTGACATGGCAGGGAAGTGCTTAGGTGGACGGCTGTGATGAATGTATGTAGATGAGGATACTATGTGCAAAGAACAACTATAAAAGCTCTTTCTTGTAACAGAATTGGTTATCGAAAGTAAATACAGTTTTCCTATCTTCAGTTTCTCTCTTCTCTTCTCATCCCTTCTAAAACTCTATTTCCCATCTCACCTCTCTTCTTGATTCTTTTCTCATCTCTATCTCTTGATTCTTTGTGGATTGTTGATTGGGTTATATCATTTGGTATCAGAGCATCCATTCTCTAACCTGTGGCTATGGCGGGTAACACCATATCTCAAGAACAAGCGAAATTCGAAGCCGAGATCAAGGGATTGATCTCAAACACCCAGAGGGATCTTCTTGAATTGCAGTGACGCACAGAGGAGCAATTCAGGAAGAATGACGAGTAGTTGGTGGCCATACGGAAAGAAAGAAAAGAGCAATTTGAGTCTTTGTCCAAGATGATGTTGCAAGTTATGGGTCGAATGGGGGTTTCCCATGGTGATAGCGGCACTCTGATGATGTCGGCGATGGGGGTAAATAATGGGATCCTAAGAGGAAGCTGTGACAATCCCATGGTAAGAAATCTTGGGCCCAATCTTGGTTGCAATCAGGGTAAACACCCTCTTGAATCTATGATTCGATTTGGGAAAGTTGATTTCCCTATTTTTGATGGCACTGATAGTGTGAAAGGATGGCTTTTCCAAAGTGAATAATATTCTTGAAAGTGAACAATTCTTTGAAATTAACAAAATTGGGAAAGGGTTTAAGTCTCAAATTGCTGGAATGTATATGAAGGGAGAGGCCTTGCACTGGTTGCAAGCCTACATGAAAGGGAGAATTGAGTGGCCTGCTTGGGAGGAATTTTGCATGGCTATTTGTGTTAGATTTGGGGTAGCTTCTAACATGAAGCTTGTGGCAAAATGGAGGAATGTAGTGCAAATGGGTACTCTCTTAGAGTATCAACGAGACTTTGTAAAAATAAAGGCTAAGGTCGCTTGCTCTGAAGAGTTTGCTGTTGAGATGTTCATTGGAGGTTGGTAGGAGGAAATCAGACATGCTGTGACTTGTTTTGATCCTAAAAACCTAATTGAAGCTTATTGTATTGCCTAGTTGCATAAGGCCAACTATGAAGCCAATTTCACTTTTATGGTAAAGAAGTTCAAGCCCGTCAATTGGTCACAATCAAGGAGTGTAGCACCAGCTCCCTTTTCTAATGCAGGCCTTCGTTCCCCTGGAATTCCACCTTTTAATCAGAAAAACAATACCCTTCTATCATCTGTCACCCCGCAGCCCTCCAGGAATAAGAGTATTAAGTCATTATCGAAGAAACAATTAGAAGAGAAGAAAGCCAAAGGCTTATGCTTTTGGTGTGATGAGCAATTTGTGCCAGGTCACAAGTGCCCCAAATAAAAGCTGTTCAACATTGAGATACTACCTTTTGAGGAAGAAGAGGTGGATATTGCTGAGGTACAAGATAACCAGGGTGAGAGATTAGAGGTACAACAATTGCATCTATGGCAACAAGACATGCCACAATTATCTTTGCATGCTTTGACGGGTGAGTTGGCCTATCAGATGCTTAAGGTGATTAGAATAGTGGGCAAAAGGTCACTAATGATTTTGATAGACTTTGGGACTACACACAATTTCTTAGACTCCAAATTAGCACAAGAATTGGGGTGTAAGTTAGAGGATGTAAAACAGTTCCAAGTTTCAATGGCTAATGATAGTCAATTATCTGGTTCAAGGAGAGTTGCTGACTTCACTTGGAAAATGAAAGGGTTGGAATTTCAATTGGAGATGCTCTTGTTGCCATTGGGTGAGTACGATGTGATTCTTGGAATCCAATGGTTAAAACCCTTGGGAAAGGTTCTATGGGATTTTCAGAGCAAGACCCTTGGTTTCACGTACAAGGAGAAACCTATGGTGCTACATGCTCCCCCTAAACCCCAGATCAAGTGGGTGGATAATGAAAAGATGCTGTAGACTATTCAGAAGGTAACAGACTCCAGCAAGGTAAAGCTTTTTATGGTTCAAATTCTGAATAAGGAAGCATGTGGAGTTCAGTTATCTAGAGCTGAAACAAAGGATGATCCACATTTAAGACAATTGTTGGAAATCTATTTTGATGTTTTTGAGGAACCCAAAGAACTGCCACCTCACAAAGTTCAAGACCATAGTATTCCTTTGAAAGGGGGTATTGACCCTATCAATGTTCGACCTTATAGATATCCTAATAGACAGAAACAAGTCATGGAGCAATTAGTTCAAGAGATGCTCCAAAGAGGGGTTATAAGAAGAAGCACCAGTCCCTTTTCTTCTCCAATGGTTTTGGTCAAGAAAAAAGATGGCACTTGGCGCATGTGTGTGGACTACAAGGAATTGAATAAGACCACCATCAATGACAAATTCCCAATGTTAGTTATTGAAGAACTCCAAGATGAGTTGCATGGAGTTGCCTTTTTCTCAAGAATTGATCTAAGGGCAGGTTATCATCAAATTTGGATGAAGGAAGAAGATGTATGTAAGATGGCATTTAGAACACATCATGGCCACTTCGAGTTTTGGGTAATGACTTTCGAGCTCTCCAATGCCCCTTCAACCTACCAAGCTGTTATGAATGAAATGCTAGAACCATATTTGAGGAAGTTTGTTCTAGCATTTTTTGATGATATATTGATGTATAGTAGATCCTGGGAAAAGCATTTGCAGCACTTGAATCTCATACTATCTGTTTTGAGGCAGCACCAATTTTTTGCTAAGCATAGCAAGTGTTCATTTGGTGTGCAACAGATTGAGTGTTTGGGGCACATAATCTTCGCCCAAGGGGTTGCTACTGATCCACAAAAGGTTGTTGCTATGGTCAAATGGCCAATACCAACGAGTGTTAAAGAGCTGAGAGGCTTTTTGGGCTTTACGGGGTATTAAAGAAGATTCATTCAACATTATGGCATCATTGCAAACCTCTAATGGTGCTACTGCAAAAAGACAACTTCAAATGGTCTACAATGGCACAAGCTGCTTTTTTGAGGTTGAAGGAAGCTATGGTTAAGGCACATGTTCTTGCACTTCCAAACTTCAAAGAAGAATTTGTTATTGAAACTGATGCTTTAGGTTTTGGTATAGGGGCAGTCTTAATGCAAAAAGGTCATCCTATTACACTTCTCAGTAAGGCTTTGGCTCCTGCCCACCAAGGCTTATCTACATATGAAAAAGAGCTAATGGCTGTGGTAATGGCTATTGACAAGTGGAGACAATACTTGATTGTGAGGCAAGTGGAGACAATACTTGATTGTGAGGCATTTCACCATACGAACTGATCATCAAAGCTTGAAATACCTTCTGGAACAACGAATCACTACACCAATGTAGCAAAAGTGGCTAACTAAATTATTGGGATATGATTATGATATCATATACAAGAAAGGTAAGGAGAATACTGTGGCAGATGCTTTATCTAGAGTGCCAAGTACTCATATTACTTCTATGGCCATTTCTACTATTGACACTTCCTTATTTTTTGAGATACAACAGTCTTGGCAAGTTGATGAGGTATTACAGTCTTTAATCGTGCAACTCCAAGCAAATCCATGTAGCAAGCCTAACTACTCATATACTAATCAACATTTAAGAAGAAAAGGAAAGCTGGTTGTTGGGTCGGACCCTATGTTGCGACAAAAAATCTTGCGCTTGTTTCATGCTGAGGCAATAGGAGGTCATTCGAGCATGTAATGCAACACTAACAGAATTGCTGGCCTTTTTTATTAGAAAGGTATGAAGAAGGATATAAGGAATTTTATCAAACAAAGTGACACATGTCAACTTAATAAGTATGATAATAAGAGTTCGGAGGGTTTGTTGTAGCCATTGCCTATTCCGGATAAAGTGTGGGAAGATATTTCTATGGATTTTATTGAAGGCCTTCCTCTATCCCAGGGAAGGACAATCATTATGGTTGTGGTTGATCAATTAAGCAAGTAAGCTCATTTTGTTGCACTAGCACACCATTATACAGCTTCTAAGGTGGCTGAATTATTTGTTCAGAACATCAAAAGGTTACATCGCATGCCGAAAAGTGTTATTAGTGATCGGGACACTACATTCACTAGTGTGTTTTGGAGAGAATTATTTTGCCTTTGCAGAATTACTTTGAGGATGTCATCTGCTTATCACCCTCAAACAAATGGCCAGACTGAGGTAGTCAATCATTGCTTGGAGACTTATCTTCGATGTATGTGTGGACTAAGGCCTAAGGAGTGGGTTCAGTGGCTACCATTGGCTGAGTGGTGGTATATGATGGAAGTTACGTGAAGCAGCTTAGGTGGCAGTAGCAGTATATTAGTGCCATCAAGCCGCCCAAGTTCAGTTTGGTTAAACTAAAACTAACCAAACTGTTTTGTATCCTTTTCTAGTAATATTTCTAGTTAGAGCCATGTGATGACGTGTATTATTTTGATGATAAAATATTGTTGTAAAACAGTTCCTTAGCTTGTATTTTTTGAATTTTAAAATTTGAACTCTCTGTGTACAAATGCTGGAAAACTGAAATGGAAACTTGATTTCAGCTCTTCAACGTCTCTCTCCATTTCTTTGAGAAATAATCGAACATGGTATCAGAGCCATGAGTTCTTGAGGGATCATGTGAGATTTGAGTGAAACCCAAATACACCAAACACCTTAAACCTTATTGCAATGGAATCAAACATCAGCTTCACCGCAAAGACCCTTGTTTTTGCTGGCCAAAACTACACAATTTGGGCAGTGAAGATGAAAGCATATCTAAGGGCTTTCGAACTTTGGGAAGTGGTTGAGACAGACCGGCAACTAGCTCCTCTTCCTCCAAATGCTACTCTTGCTCAAATTAAGAGACACTTAGAGGAGGTGGCAAAGAGATGCAAAGCCTTGACTTGCCTTCACTTAGCAGTGACCGATGAAATTTTCAACAGAATCATGACTTGTGAGACAGCTAAAGAGGCCTGGGACAAGCTGAAAGTGGAGTTCCAAGGTGATAACAAGGCAAGACAAATGGAGGTTCTCAATCTGAAAAGAGAGTTCGCGCTCATTAGAATGAAGGATACAGAGACGGTGAAGGAGTTCTTCGACCGACTGACGAAGGTGGTGAACAAGATAAGATTGCAAGGGGAAGAACTGTTTGATAAGGCAGTAGTTGAGAAGGTTTTGGTGAGTCTATCGGAGAAATTTGAGCACAACATCTCATCCTTGGAGGATTCCAAATATCTGTCTCAATTCTCCTTGAATGACTTAGTTAATGCTTTGCAAGCTGTGGAGCAAAGAAAGACTTTGAGGCTCGAAAACAATGTTGAAGGAGCATATTTGGCAACTGACAGAGAAAAAGCAACAGCCAAAGATGATGAAAACAAGCAGTTCGGTGATAAAAGAAACAGAGAAAAAAAGGGTTATCAAAGTGGGAGGTACAAAAACAAGAAACAAAGCTTTGCACCTTGTTCCCATTGTAAGAAGAAGAACCACTCAGAAAATTACTGTTGGTTCAGACCTGGAATTCAGTGCAGATCGTACAAGCTTTTTGGACATATTGAGAAAGTTAGCAACTTGAAGGGTGGAAAAACTCAGCAAGCCCAAGTTGCTGAAATCACTGAACAAATGGAAGAGAAGCTATTTATGGCTTCTAGTGTTGAGGCATGTTGCTTAGCAAGATTGAGTCCAAGCACTTGGCTGATTGATAGTTGTTGCACAAACCACATGACAAATGACTTGGCCATTTTCAAGAGTCTGGACAAGAACTATTCTTCAAGAGTGAGACTAGGAAATGGAGATGTTAAGGAAGTCAAGGGCAAACGAGTTGTTGGTGTGCAAACTCCAGCAGGTACAAAGTTAATTTATGATGTGCTTTATGTGCTTGATATAAGTCAGAATCTTATTAGTGTTGGTCAGTTGCTTGAGAACAAATTTGCACTGCATTTTCATGATAACATGTGTGATGTGGTTGATGAATCTAGTGTTATACTATTTTCTGTTAAAATGAGTGATAGAAACTTCCCAGTTGAGTGGAAAAACACTAAAATTCTAGCAGGCAGCAGTATAGTTAATAACTCAAGTCTATGGCATAAAAGATTTGGGCATTATAACTATACATCTTTGAAAGAAATGCATAGCAAGAATATGGTGATAGATATGCCTGTTGTGAATGAAGATTCTGGTGTATGTGTAGTATGTCAGTTAGGGAAACAAGCTAGACTCCCTTTTCCTAACAAGGCTAGTAGAGCTATAGAAAAGATGCAGTTGATCCATAGTGATATCTGTGGATCTATGAAAGTGTTCTCCTTAAATGAGAGCAAATATTTTCTGATTTTCATTGATGACTTCAGCCGGATGTGCTGGGTATATTTTATCAAACAAAAGTCAGAAGTATTTGGAGTATTTGTTAGATTTAAAGCCTTGGTTGAAAATGAGAGTGGCAACACCATTAAGGCTTTCAGAACTGACAATGGTGCAAAATATACATCGAATCAATTGGTGGAGTTTCTCCAAAAGTCAGGCATACACCATCAGCTCACAGTCACTTACACCCCTCAACAAAATGCAGTAAGTGAAAGAAAGAACAGATCAATAATGAACATGGCTAGATGTTTTTTGTTTCAAAAGGGTTTACCGAAGACACGTTGGGTAGAGGCAGTTAACACCTCAGTTTATTTGCAAAATAGACTCTCAACTGAAGCACTTGACAACAAGACTCCTTTTGAAGCTTGGTTTGGGATAAAACCAAAAATTGATGGTTTAAGTACCATTTTGGTCCCTCAACTATCCACTTTGGTACCAAAATTGTCCCTCATCTTTAAAAAGTACCAAAATTATTCTCAAACTTTCATTTTCGGTACCAAAATGGTCCTTCCGTCAGTTAAATGACAAGTGGCACGTTATCTTGCCACAAAATTACATTTAAAAAAAATTAATAATTACATGGAAAATCCACGTAACGTTATTTGA